CAAACACCCTGGGTCAAGGATAGAAACAACACGCTGCCTACGTCAACACTGGTTCTTTGGCGTGGTGTGGTGGGGCTGGAGATTTGATCTACTCAGGCACCGCCTGTGACCCGGCATGCGCAGTACGTTTCTTGTTTTTTTGTTTTGAATCACCTCGAAATCGGTTGTAGTTCACTGAAGTTGGTAATTGTTATATTCCTTTCACACCTAGGAGGAGCTCCGAAACAGCTATGGGGCGTTACGCGCTTATTCCTTTCAGATGCACCACCCATCTGCTCCTTTCAAATCGGCATGCCAGGATTAAGCCTTGTACTCATAACTGCGAAATTCGCACTTTTATGACATTGCTTCGACAATTTGACGTGAATTAAACGTCAAATTGTCGAAGCAATGTCAAAAAAATGCGAATTCCACATTTATGAGTACTAGGCTTTAAGGGGGGGGGGGGGCTAACGGGGCTGCAGCCCCGGGCCCCGCAGTCCAGTACTTTCGAAATTGAGGCTTCTGCTGGTCAAGGGCCCGTGGACAAACAATAAATATGCATTAGTCTTTCGCGTCATGTTTCGCAAAATTTATTAAATTAAAAATAAATATAGAACAACAATGCAGAAGGAACGCCTGTCTTCATTAACATTGATGTGCATAGAAAGACTACAGAGACATTCTGAAGGAATTAGAATTTACTGATGTCATACAAGAATTTGTTAGGTAAATTTAGGTAACCTACGAAAAATAGTTATTTATGCAACAAGTGTGTAAAGTGAACCTTTTTTCACGAATCTGAATTTTGACGCACGAGCCGAAGGCGAGTGCGACAATCACATAACTATTCTACTACCAATCAAATGTGTTTAAAAAAATAAATTTAAACAAATACTTTACGCACTAATGGGTAAAGAATTTTCACTTTACGCACTAGTGCGTGAAGTAGTTTACCAGAAAAAAAACCATATTGACAGTGTCGACGTCTGTCATTGACATTACCTTACGCACTAGTGTGTGAAGTGAATTACTTTACGCGTGAAGTGAGTACTTTACGTACAGTAGTAGAAAATAGTTATTTATGCAACAAGTGCGAAAAAAGGTGCTTTACACACGTATTGCATACAACATTTTTTCTACTACCAATCAAATATGTGTAAAACAATAAATTTAGACAAATACTTCACGCACTCGCACTAGTGCGTTAAGAATTTTCACTTTACGCACTAGTGCGTGAAGTAATTTACCAGAAAAATGCCAAATTGACAGTGTGACATCTGTCATTGACATTACTTTACGCACTAGTGTGTGAAGTGAGTTACTTTACGCACTAGTGCGTGAAGTGAAATTTTACGTCTTCTCAATAGTGCGTAAAGTGAGTACTTTACACACGGTAGTAGAAAAAAGATATTTTGACAATTTTGTAAAACACGTTTATCCTATTCACAATCCGTATTCCAAAGATAAAGGTAAATTTATCACCTTTCCCTATCAAATAGCACTGAAAGGTGATAAATTTTACCTTTACCTTTGGACATCGGATTGTGAATAGATAATAATTATCTATAATTATTATAGGTATAGCAGTGTCAGACTGTTATATCAGGAATATAGTCTTTTTCTATATACAGGGTGTCCCACGCGGTTTTTCCCAAATGAATTTCGGAACGCATCTTCGTATGTTCCACTGTATCATTAGGGACATAAAGCTACTTGAAATAATTCGCCGGTATCGGTATCGGTATTCGTAACGCAACTAGATACGTTGACAAGCGAAAAGGCTGTTAAAGCGCTCCCTGTTCCGGTAAACGTAAACGCATCTCATAACCTAGTAATTTTCGTGTCAAAACTCCGGCGTTTTTATATAAAATTGTTATTTTTTTTGCGATAGAGAAGCACTAAACATACAAGAAACTCAAGAAAGTATAAACTAAATAAATTAAATCAACCCGGAAGAAAAGTGAGGTTATATTCATTTAAAATTTGACACATGCGTCAGGAATGTCAAGATACGTTACCGATACGGATACCGCGAGAGGGCCGTAACGTTACGTTGTACGTACGGTATCTCGGCGTCCGTATCGCTTCTGCACATGCGCAGGACGATACCGATACGGATACCGACCAAAAAATACGGAAGCTTTAAGTCCCTATTTTCTTTAACAAAGCCTTAACAAACATAGCATTGACGATTTTGTAATTTAATTTTCTAACGTAAAATGCCATAATATAACATGAGTTACATTTAAGATTCGAACGTTGACGTCACTTGACCAAAATTGAAGCGAAAGTGGTGAAATTGGATGACGATGGTAGAAGCGGCATAAAAAGTTACCCACATCTTCAAAATTTCAATTATATTGGATGATGCGTTCCGAAGTTATTACCTTGGAAAAACATCGTGGGTGTCCCTGTATATTTTTTTGCACTTAATTTATGAAGGGCCCCCTAAAACTTCACTAGCCCCGGGCCCCAAGAAAGCTTAATCCGGCCATGCAAATCGGGGTCGACTTACACCGGGCGGGAGCTCGTAGCTCGAATGCTCCAAACTCTTGAAAGGAATACAACTATTATGGATTGGATAGAACTTGAAATTAATTCCGAAAATTTCACACTGATTGAAATACATATGTAGATGGATCACCATATGCAAATGAGGAACATCACATCTATTTGCAACAAACTAGTAAGCGACACCTGTTTCTATTTAAAAAGTTAGGTCAAGATGAATTTGATCGACGGATGATTCTTCAGATTCTTGATGATTCTAGCCGCTTTCCAGTGACGAAATTTAAGGTGCTCCACAGTCGTAGCTTCACACGCTGGTGCTCCAAACATCTGTTGTTTCACTGGAACGCAACATACATTAAGCGTCGTGTTTTTCATGCATCCATAAAATTGTAGTTGCTTCAGAGGGCAGGGGAGAGGAAAAACGAACAGTTCAGTTGCGTGAAACTCTAATGCACTGGACCGCCTATAAACAGCCCGGTGCGCTCTGGAGTAGCTCAGGAGTGCTAAAATACGACACTGGAAAGCGACTCAAGACCAATGAACTATAAACTACACGTATCTGGAATGGCACCGACCGTTGTCTGATATGATATATGTATGGCATTTGTCATCTCGCTTAGTGCGTCCAAAAAAGCTACATAGTGGGGTATCCCTTTCTCTCTCCAGTTCATTGCTGTTAGGTTTGGCATATTCCTAACCTCGAATAAAATATTTTTTAGACAAGGAAAGAATTCCATGATTCGCCAATAAGATAAATAGAGATGTGTGTACCCCACATTCTCCATCTCAATCTGCCGCAAATTTATAGATCGGCGGGCCATTCCAGGTATGTGTAGTTTATAGTTCATTGCTCAAGACAGAAATTACGCTCCGTCCGTTTATATATTTTTTTTAAGCTTTGGGCGCACTGGTTAATATCGCTCGGGCGAATTTCGCCTGGATATTTAATTTATGAACGGGCAAAAAAATAAACTGAACCAACAAAACCTGTTCGGGGTATATTTGGGGCTCCCTCCGGACCGTCATCACAAAAAAAATCGGAAACTGGCAACGTTATCTTTAAGCTCATGGGCGAGGCGGAACGGAGGATTACTGATTAGCCAAACTCGCCTATAAAATCGCCTAGTATCGGTCCAAGGTTCATAAAGTTAATAGGTTGTCTGGTAATGGGTAACTTGATGACGCATCTGGGGTGCCTTATGGAGATTTGCATTATGTTGAGGCACCCCAGATGACGTCATAAAGTTATCAGGGGCGAGTTCAGAAATAACACACCAGGTGTGAGTGCGATTTTATGGGTGTGACTGAAATGACAATTCTTAGGCGACAACTTTCGTATGAATTTCTGACCGCTTGGTGTGACCAATCGAGCATCTCCTCAAAAATTTCACCAAATCTATTAAGATTACTTTTTTTTGGTTGTTCATTTTTTTAATTTGAAGAAAAAACTTTAATTCTTATTTGTGTTTTGTTTATATTTGGTGGGATTATTGAGATTATGGGAGGAATGGTTGACATTGTTGACATAAAGACACAATCACACCGCAGCCACACCAAAAAATTATGGTGTGACCGGTGCGACACCTGGAGCGCGCCCGAAGTACTTTCTGAACGGCACAGAGTGCGCGCACTCGGTGTGCCTATAGCATTTATGAACGGCTAGTGCGTCGCACCGGTGTCACACTCACACTGAGTGTGTCATTCCTGAACTCGCCCCAGGCAACCTACCACGGAGTGCGTTCAAAGACGGCAATGCTAATGCCAAAACCTACTATTCCCCTTCTACCGGCGATGCCAAATCTGGTGTGAATTCGCTGGAACGCCAAATACCGTTTCTCAATAAGCAATCCAAACCACGTGACATTCAATATGGCGTGGCGACCATACATGGACCAAAAAACACAAAAAATATCTAGTCTCTGCCCGACTTAATAGGTTACGTAATTAGTTAACAAATATTTTATTGAATAATCAAAATCGAAGCTGCAAACAAACAAAATGATTGAAATATGCATGAAAACACATAACTTGCTGGTCGCCACGCCATATTGAATTTGGTCTCATCCAATCAAAATTCGTATAACCATTTCTAGACTCAGTTGAAAGAGCCTCCAAAATTTACTTTACCGCGGCCGATTTGGAACGTGTAAAGCCAACCGTTTTTGGCACGCTGGAGCCGAACTTGAACGCAATATGCCAATTTTGGCTTGGCTTTAGCCGTTTTTGAACGCAGCCATGAGCCGCTTTCCAGTATGGGAGTTTGACGCCCGGAGCTACTCGGGGCTTGAGCCCCCGAGCTGTTCGTACGCGTCAACCTATCAGCTGTCACATCTGTGGGTGGCTATTTATCTATTTATTTCTTGTTATATCTCAAGATTGAACATTTTAAAATATATAGTTTTGATTCTCTTTCATTTATGATAAATAAAAAAACAAACTGCACAAACAAACAGATAATTATTTTTAAAATTTGACATATTTGACACTAACACAGGCGTCTCACGCCATGATACTGGAACGGTACAAATCTAGTGCGTGGCGCCCCCTCTGGAGCGCGCCAATGTGCATACTGGAAAGCGGCTCTTACCTACCTCTCTCAAATAACCTTGGTGTCGGTCAGAGTCAAGTCAGTCCTCGACCGTATACTCTTCAATCGGTTCTGATTCAATCTCCTTTGGTGTGATGTAAGAAAAATCGCTACGCTGTCGACTTTCGCCTCCGCCTCGCCAGTCGCCAGACAGACGCGTTCTTCTTCTTCCTGTTTTGTTGCATACTTCCACTTTATTCCACTTCCACTTTCCACTAGGGTCGACAAACTATCGAAAAAAAACTATCGATAGTGATATCGATAGAATGGCCTACCCATCGATAGTAACTATCGATTGTACTATCGATAGTTTGCTCTGACCAAAGTAACCAAATTTGTAATTAATTACGATAAACATTAACCTCCAACCTCCATTAGTCCATCAAACTCACTCGTCGTTAGGCAATTCAAACCACGTGACATTCAAGATGGCGTGGCGGCCATACATGGGCCAAAAAACACAAAAAAAGTAGGGAGTGAATTCTGCGCCTACCGGTAGGTGCTGTTTGTTTCATTGATTGTGTGCCTACCGTCATTGTATACCGCGAAAACATTATGGTAGGTCCCCAGTTGGCACATGATATAACGCCTATCGGTAGGTACTCTTTGTTGAAAGAATCCTGAGCCTACCGGTAGGTTCATATTAATTCAAGAATCCGTCGCCTACCCTACCTATCTAACCTAACTATACCTGCATTTACAAGAAGGTGACACTCGTCGCCCTAGTTGTGAATGGTCGTAATCCACAAAATGTTCATTCTTGAGTTATTAACACTGTTGTTACATACTTAAAAATGTTTAAAGTTCATGTTGGCGAATAGATCTAAGCCAGTGATCAATATTTGACCTTATTTGAAAATTATTTTCCAAGTTTTTGGTGGATTTATGCTTCCGAGGATCTTATCTTTGAAGTTTGGCGAGCGGAGCGAGCAATCAGAGACTTAAAAATGATTAAAATTTCAAGATGTTATATTTAATAAAGGTTTTTCACGTTTTTGGTGGATTTGCGCTCCCAAGGATCCTCTCTTTGAGGTTTGGCGAGAGTAGTGAGCCATCGAAGACTCAAAAACAAACTCAAGGTGTGTGCAGAAAGATTTTCAATATAGAATATAGGTTGCCGTCTAGCGAATGAAGCAGATTCGAAACATCAACAAGTTTAAAGCCCAAATTGGAAAAATGTTAAGATACTAATAAAGGCTTATGTGGACGAATTTCTTAATGACTATACTATTACTAACAAACAATATTTTACCAACGTATTTAGCATTAGCAAGAGCTGACTGGTAGGATATAGGATATACGGATTCTAAAGTAATAAAACACCTTCCAGTAGGCGCTTGATCAATTGACGAAAAAGGACCTACCCTACCAGTAGGCGCACAATCGGTGGATAAAAAAGGACCTATACCGGTAGGCGTAGGATTCACTCCCAAAAAATTATCTAGTTTCTGTTCGAATTAATAGTTTAAGTACCTAGTTAACAAATATTTTATTAAATAATGAAAATCATAGTTGTAAGCAAATTTATATGCAAAATAATTTAAAATACGCATAAAAACATATTCAAAACAAACTTGCTTGGCCGCCACGCCACATTGAATTTTCCTTTTTGACAGATGGATTGAATTGCCCTTAGACAAGGAAAGAGAGGGGACTCGTAACACAGCAGGTGAAAATGAAGCAGTTTGCCACCAAAAAATGTCCTTTTTTCATAACATAACCTAGAAAGCATATTGTTTTTTGCCTGTTAAATGTAATCCCGTAGACTTTTTTTTCTCTGCGGGTTTTGCAGCCATACGCTAGCAATCCACCATGCTGAATATCACAAAAATGTTAGTCTGAAGTAAAATTCACATAGTGGCACCCAAGGATGATACATACTACTAAGGATGGCTTATCCTCATAAGGCCTGTGTGTAACAAATCCCCCCGTACCCCGCCTAGCCAAAAAAGCAGTTGTGACGTAAGCATCATGGCGTTTTTCGCCTTGACGTAGGCTGTTTGCACCACAGGTTATGTTATGATCTGGCTGCTGGCTGGAAATTATGAAACTAGTTTCTAGTATAATTAAAGTCTAAAATTATAAAATTATATCAGATACATATAATCATGACTTTTAATCATTACTGTTGTGTTCCTCAGTGCAAGTCTTGGGCTAAAAAAAAAAGCTGACAAAGGATTGAGTTTCTACATATTTCCCCTTGAAACAGGCCACACAGGTTTATTTGGAATCGAAAATGGAAAAAGAGTTAGTGTCGAGAAGAAAAGCCTACTGGATTTTAAAACTTCGTATTGGCAAACCAGTCACCAAATTCATGAAAGTGTATTCTCTGCATCTCAAGCAAGAATTTTGTGTTAAGGTAAACAAGCATAATGGGTAGTTTTGTGCCCTAGCTTCATTTTATTAGGCCTGCTTCTAGGCATTGATCAAGTACTATCTATTTTTAAAATGTTTTGTTTGAAAATATTGACTGTTTTTTTTTATTTACAGGTGAGAGTACAGGTCTAAGAGGTACAGGTAGAGGTCGGATATTGAAAAAAACAGTTGTACCATCCCAGAATTTGCCCTCTTCTATAGTGATCCATAAACCGAGCCAAAAAATAGATTCCATGGGTGCTGAAAAACTTGCCAAAAGAAAAAGAAATCAAGATTCTATTGAGACTATACAAGTAATGAATGTAGTTATACTTTTAATCAATTATTAAACTCTTCTCAGATAGACATACAAACGGCCAAGCAAACAGTACGTGTAAAGTTTTTATTGAATCCTAATTACCAGTATTATATTGTTATAGGTAGTTCGAGTAAAAATCAGATTTGTGTTCAAGTTATTTGACTTTGTTAATTTAATTTTCACCTATTAATAATTAAAAATAAAGAGTTATTTATAAAATATTTATTTATTTATTACATATACAAGTTATTCAAATACAGACATTATAAGGGAGATACCATACCTGCCTTTAGACTTTAGACCCTTTTGGCAATGTCCTATTGTAGAAAGTTCACAAAAATATAAGAAAAAGATCCGGTTAGGCTGTTGTATGGATATAATCATTTCGGATCAGGTAAACGAAATAGATTATAATGAATTTTGGCCTGCATCATCACGAGCAGCATTATGGGTGAAAATTATTACCCAGTGTGAAACTTTCGAGAACAGTGAATAAATAAGTCGATATTGCATTTACAGCACATTGTTCTTCCTCAGCTGCTACAGTTTTGACCACCACATCGTTTTTTTTTACGTTCAGGAAAAGTGTTTGAATGATGATGCAGTCCATAATACCTTATATCATTATTGACTCAAAAATCACTTGCTGCAGCCCGAAGCATATTCTTCTGTAGCGCAAGGTGGTACTTTATATTTCCTCGGGTATGTCTGAAAATAAAAATAAAGTTAAAATTGTATGTTTTCTCAAAAAATTGTTAATTCTGCTCTACCTGTGATATATTTCCCATTCGAATAAACAATTTTTGCACTAGCACAAAGTTGCCTAGTAGATAGGTCAGCTAAACCACGTTCCTCATCTGCTGAATCTTAGTCAGTGAGCTCTTTGCTTTCTGTGTGGGCTCAATAATATGCCACCAACATTTTCATTATCATAAGCAGTATTCAAAACTTCCTGATGGCTAATTCCACTAAAACAAAATGTACAGCTAAAAATGTTAGCTTCTGCCCAGGCCCATATGCCATATTGGACAGTAATGTTTACAAGAATATAATACATAAACAAACGATCAATTTATGCTCGAATAGGAATATGTTTTTATAATAATATGAGAAAACCCTAAAAACAATTAAATAGTATAGAATAAATTATCTTATAGTTATTATACTTACATAAAGAAATGTAAACAAAACGCCGCGTAATTCTCCTAGGGCTCCATTAAATCATACATGCTGAAAACGTGTAAATAGGCGGAATGACGAAAGCTAGCCAAATATCGAAATATCGCGCTCAGATCGCACTTTTGACCTTGATGTTTATTGGTTCCGTCATAGGGTACCTTTACGCGCTATAATGGTTAATCAGAATCAAAATAATATATTTTTCATGACAAATTTATAAATTTATAAAACCGCTGGCGCAAACAGCTGGCGACTTAGTTATGACGTCAGCAGTGGTTGGAAACATTTGAAAACCAATATGGCGGCGATTACCCAAAAAGGGGCCGATAAGCACTCCTTAGAAAGTTTATTCTCCTTGAGTGGCACCATGAAAAATTGTCGCCATTATTTGGTGGCAAACGGTCACAACCAGCTGCTAGTGCAGGTAAAGGATGTTACGCGTCCTCTCTCTTTCCTTGTCTAAGGAATTGCCTAATTCCTCCTAACCGAAAAATTGGCAGCACAGCATGTCTATCCCCAAAAATAATTACAGATTTCTCAAAAAAACTACAGATTTCTTTATGTTTTCATTTACCTTTGGCTATATTGGAACTATCGATATTGGTACAGGTCTATCGATACTATCGAAAATTGAAAAACTATCGATAGTATCGATATCCCTATCGATAGTTTGTTATCCCTACTTTCCACTTTCCCCCTCAGTTTCTGTTTCTACGTTTTTACTTGTTGTTCGTAGTTGCAGTTGTCCGGTTTCGTGTTTCGGGTTTGTGCATGGCAAAATAAAAAACAGTCTGTTGTAAGCAGAAATTGCGATTAGCGAATTTTTATCGACATAAAAAATAAAAACAGTGGCTGATAAAATAAGGTGAGTTGATGTATTCATTAAAATAACAATGAGCATAAACAAAATTGGTTATACTGTAAACCTAACCTCCAAACAGTACCCAAACAATCATTGCAAAAATATTACACAGTTTATAAACCTCTTATATTAATATGATGATATGATATTAATAGCAAATCTGAAAACAAGGCTTTGTGTTGTATTGTCTGCGTGATTTTTGTACTGTACAAACTCGAAGAAAATTCTAGGATGATAGAATCAACATCAACTATAAAAAGCATATAAAATATCGTCCATTTCACCTCATGGTTTATTCAGCATTCAGAAAAAAATGATGAATCAGGCAAACATTTATCACCATACATTCTATTTTTATTTTACGATTATTACCAGGAATTTAATGTATGACTCCCAAGCAGTGTTCACCACTGATGATAACACAAGAACAATGAAAACAATAGAATTATAGTACTACCTCGATAATCGGAACTAATTATTGCTATACTTTATTTTTTCCCAAGATAGATTTTGACATTGAAAACTTTGAAAAATAAACAATAACGCTTGACCCTGATTGGTCGCAAAATGAGGTATTTCTGCAGGTTGACATCAGTTTTACAATAGCGGCCAATAAGTGGCATTAGCGGCATTGTTTATGTTTCAAAGTTGACAATCTCAAAATCTATCTTGGAAAAAAATAAAGTGTAATTCAGATTACTGATTTGATTTGTTCGGATTATAAAAATATGTGGTAAAGGACCCCGCACACTTCTTATGGGATTTCTGACCGCAGTCGAATTTAACCAAATTTTAGTATGTTATAGATCTCACCTTTCTGATCAATAACTCGCATGGGCAGAACTTAATCCTATGACTAGTTTTTGAGATACAGGTAGTTCAATGTCCAAGAAATGCACAAATTTTTTATGCATTTACATCTACCTGTCACCCAATAATACCAGGATGGATAGGTATCTTCATGCTCAGGTGACAGGTAGATGTAAATGCATATAAAATGTGTGCATTTGTTGGACATTAAACTACCTGTATCTCAAAAACTAGTCATAAGATTATGTTGTGCCCATGGCAGCTATTGATCAAAAAGGTGAGATGTATAACACTAGAATTTGATTTTATTTGACCGCAGTCAGATATCCCATAAGAAGTGTGCGGGGTCCTTTAACTTAAAATAATATGCAAATAATCAAAAATACCTACTCACAAAACTTCTACCTGTTCCTACCTGAGCAAAACCAACATGATGGTTTTTCAGCGACTATTCCACTATACCATTTACAGCATTATTTCACACTAGTGAAATTTGATTTCAAATTAATGAAAACTAAATTCACATTAGCGAAATCTAATTTCGCTCAAATGAAAATTGATTTCAAAGTAACAAAAACTAATTTCTCACAAACGAAATTTGATTTCACATTTTTGAAAATGAATTTCAAACTGACCCTAATTAATACTTATTTTTCAAACATTTATTATTTCAACCTAATGAAATAAATCTACTGAGTTTAGAAAACTGTGGTTTAGATAACATAAAATACAATAAAACAACAGTTGTGTATTTCGGTGTAAATTTAATAAAATTGGCTGAGCGCTTTCGGTCTTATTAGACCATCTTCAGAGCCGCCCTATAACAAGCAAAGTGTACATGTTTAATTGTCTTTATAATAAAATTGGTTCTTAAGTACTTACTCGTCATAGAAATCGTGACTCAACATAGGACATTAAAAAACAAAACACCAAATAATGATACATTACAACGGAGACTTAAATAATATTAAAACACGCTTTAAAATTCTTGTATATAAAACAAACAGATACAAAAGATGAACAAATGGTAATTTTAATTAAAGGCTGATAAAGGCAATTGCTTAGTTATTTTAGATCGTCCTACATACATCCAAAAAGTAGAAAACTTCTTACAGGAAAATAATTTTGTTGAACTTCCCAACAATCCCCTCCCTTCGTTCATCAATAAAACCAAAACACAGATTAAAACATGTGAATTCGTAATCAAAAAGTTTTGGGGCGAGAAAAAGCTTACCTTAAGCAATCCTTGCATCCCTAGGCTGTATGGATTGCCTAAAATTCACAAAGATGGCATACCTATTCGCCCGGTTGTGAGTTTTACTAACACCCCAGTTTCTAAACTCTCCACTTTTCTTAACAATCTACTTTCTTCCCATCTAAAAGACAAACTAACGTATTGTATCAAAAATTCAACAGATCTGATACAAAGATTAAAAGACACTAATATTCCAGAAAACTCCATTTTAACTTCTTTTGACGTTAGTAATCTATTCACGTCAATTCCAAGACTTGAAACAATACCTATTGTTGAACAAGCTCTACAATTAAATAAAATAGACCCATTTGATATCGAAGAAATTATTTTGCTTCTTAAGTTTTGCCTGTCACAAGACTTTTTCATTTTTAATGACAAGTTCTATAGCCAAACATTAGGCCTTGCCATGGGTAACCCACTTTCACCACTCTTAGCTGACTTGTTTCTGGACAAATTAGAGAAAAATGCTGTCCCTTTACTACTTAATGAAAACAACATATTGAATTGGTTTAGGTATGTTGACGATTGTTTTGCAATAGTTATTTGTGATCCTTTGCAAGTCTTGAACTCTCTCAACAACTTGCATCCATCCATTTTATTCACTTCAGAATCGGAAACCAACAGCAGCATCAACTTTCTAGATATCACCATTACAAAAAAGGACAACTGTCCATCCTTCAAAATATTTCGTAAAAATACACAAACAGATCACATCATCCCTTACCATTCCAACCATCCCCTTATCCACAAAATGGCTTCTTTCAACTGCTATATTAATCGTTTATTAAATATCCCTATGTCTCCTGAAGACATAAAAAATGAAACTAACATCATTAAACAAATTGCTTTTAACAATGGGTATGACCCGAATATAGTAGATAAACAAATTGCCAAAATTAAAACAAAAAGAGAAGCAATCCAAGCTTACAAGAGTCAACCCCAAAATCCCTCAACTAATAAATATGTTTCCCTTCCTTACCTTGGCCCTTTTTCCTATAAAATATCCAGGATACTAAGCGGTTCTCAAAACAATATCAAACTGTCTTTTAAGAGCACTAATTCATTAGGTTCCATTCTAATCAACAACAAGCAAACCATAGTCCATACCCAAAAAAGTGGAGTTTACAAACTCAAATGCTCAGATTGTCCTGCCACATATATTGGTAAAACCATTCGACCTCTTTCAACTCGCATAAAAGAGCATATCAATGGACCACGACACTCTGCGTTTGGTCACCACCTTAACTTCACGAAACATAATTTCTCCCCTTATGAGGACAGCAAAATAATTTTTCCACAGAGGTCAAACAACCCTAAATCTCTAGATTATAGAGAGGACCTTGAAATTGCCAGAGAAGTTAAAAACAACCCCACCCATTGCCTTAACATAAGGACCAATGAAACCAACCTCAGAAGTCCTACCTTCAAATTCTTTGCTGATAATACCTACCCATCCACTTCTACACAAACCTAGTCAATTTTCAATTTAAAAATTTCTTAGACAAACCCAGTCAATTATAGATCATACATCAAAATAATAATAAAATTTTTTACGTATACATGCGATGATGGTTCTGGGGTTTTTTACATCGATAAATAATATTTGTTGCATTCCAAAAGACAACGTACTTTTATTAAGAGCGTACCATCCTCTTTTTTAAATTTTTTAAAATTACCATTTGTTCATCTTTTGTGTCTGTTTGTTTTATATACAAGAATTTTAAAGCGTGTTTTAATATTATTTAAGTCTCCGTTGTAATGTATCATTATTTGGTGTTTTGTTTTTTAATGTCCTATGTTGAGTCACGATTTCTATGACGAGTAAGTACTTAAGAACCAATTTTATTATAAAGACAATTAAATATGTACACTTTGCTTGTTATAGGGCGGCTCTGAAGATGGTCTAATAAGACCGAAAGCGCTCAGCCAATTTTATTAAATTTACACCGAAATACACAACTGTTGTTTTATTTCGTTTCGACGGTGTACATCCTGCTCTTCAAAAATATAAAATACAATCATGAAACAATAATAATAACTCGAATAATAATTATGAATTATTTAAATAAATTAAACTTCGGTTTGGCAAATCACATGGAAAGGTATAATCGAGGGTATAATGCAGCTATCTCAAGAGTGAGAAGATTCAACTAAAGTTCAATTTATTTAAATAATTTATAATTATTATTGTTTATTGTTTCATGATTGTATTTTATCCAAGTGAAGTTCGTGTTCTATCGCTATCCAATGAAGGGGGTAATTCGTCGGTTGGGACAAAAAAAATAATAAAAAATTTGTCTTTTTACAATTTTATCAATGTATTGTGATTTTGTTATGTGCAATAATTGAATGTTCCATCGTGAAAAATCTCGCACTATTTTATATAATTCTAGCCACATAATTTTTTAAGTACAAGGCATGTAAACTTCAGTTTTTTGTTATCACTGTTCTGATGTTCCTAATATATATTTTAGCCCTGATGAAGCCCTAAACTTCTGGGCAAAACGTTGGCAAAGACTTAACAAGCCTTTTATGTTTTTTTTCCTAACCAACGAATCGCCCCCTTCATTGTATTTTATGTTATGTGAACTCAGTGGGTTTATTTCCTTAGGGTGAAATAAATAACATTTGTTGATGTTTTTTCCAAATTAAAATAATAAATGTTTGAAAAATGAGTATTAATTAGGGTCAGTTTGAAATTCATTTTCAAAAATGTGAAATCAAATTTCGTTTGTGAGAAATTAGTTTCCGTTACTTTGAAATCAATTTTCATTTGAGCGAAATTAGATTTCACTGATGTGAATTTAGTTTTCATTTATTTGAAATCAAATTTCACTAGTGTAAAATAATACTGGAAATGGTATAGAGTGTATTACAGCGGCAATAAATTCGGTTACAGTCGGAAAAGTATCACGTCCACGAATATGGTTATGAGGAA